TATCTTGGGGCTGATCCTATGATTAATTCATGCGCTGGTGGCAGTTATCGTATTGTTGCATGCCACCCCAATCTCTGAGCAAGGTGAGGTTCCAAGCACTTACCTTATTCGGTTTCCTTAGAATGAGGGACTGTGGTGACTTTAGGATATATATTTATTTACAACCTTGCAGCATTAACACTCCCAGAAGGTCTTTCTTCTCCCGTAGCCACAGACTAGCATACCAGCAGAAATCAAGCACGTCTCTCCCTCACTGGCTTCAGCCTGCTGCCTCTTTCTAGCTGCTTCGTTCCCACACACAACTCTACTCTGGCTTTTGTCCTTTTAACTACCAGCCAGGTGAGGGAAAGGGCTTTTGTTCTCTGGCACAGAGCCGCTTCCTTTGTTACCTTAATGGCCCATACTTAGGGAGCCATTAACTCAGAAATTGGTCTGCCTTGTCCAACAATTGAATTCTTGCTGAATCCAGGAATTAACTGCTCCCCACCAACAAAAGACCCCCACCTTGCAACAATATTATACCCTGAATGAAGACTTCATCACACTGTGTGGAAGCTGGATCATTTTCACCTCGCGTGCAGCCACTGACAGGAAGAAAGATTCAGAGAAGGAGCTAGGAGGATTATAGAACCTGTAGAAAGCAAGGCAAGGCATTTGAGGCAATAACCAGGGTGTGTTCAGCAAGAAGGAAACAACATGAGTGGGACTGAAGCACAGAAATGCTTTTTCCAATCAGACCTAGACAAAAAGTGAAATTCTCCTGGTCTTCTGGCAGTTCCCTGGCTGCGAGAAGCCAAGTTACAGGGAACCAAGCAGAGGGCCTTCTCAGTAGTGGCATCTGCCCTGTGGAACGCCCTCCCACCATATGTCAAAGAGAAAAATAACTACCAAACTTTTAGAAGACATCTAAAGGCAGCCCTGTTTAGGGAAGCCTTTAATGTTTAATAGGTTATTGTATTTTAGTGTTTTGTTAGAAGCCGCCCAGAGTGGCTGGGGGGACCCAGCCAGATGGGCGTGGTATAAATTATTATTACTATTATTATGCTGCAGGAGAGGGAGTTGTGTGAATAAACTGAGATCTTTTGATTCAACCATACATTTTATGTTTTATTATTTTAATTACTATTTTTATTTAAAAAAAGAACCCATCCAAATGACTGCATTGGTTAAAATGTTTCACAGGTCCAGTGTAGATAACATTCCTGATTTCCTAACCATGTGAATGCTATCCCATATTTGCAATTAGAGTCTGAAGCAGGTTTGCAGAGTCTGGTTAAAGCTAACCAGGGTCGGTGCAGATTTAAAACTCCACAATTAGCTCTGAAAAGGGAAGGAAGGGGATGCCTTTGTGAGAGAGGAGCAGCAACAGGAGGAACCCACAGTGTGCCTCTAATCTCCCGAACATGATTTAAAACATTACAACTTCATTGGGTGTAAACACTACTGGTCCTGAGCCTCCTGGTGTAGGAAAGGCTAACATTCCAGCTAAAGAAAATCCCAAGCTTTTAATGGATAGATGCCAAACTTGTTATTCATCATGAACAATGACCCCAAACATACGAAAGGATTAGCTGCCGGTCCCCCACTACACTGTCTTCATTTTCTAAGCAAATATCTAAGAGAAAAGTGAAGAACGCATCTTTTGTCTCCTGCCGGGCAATGCGAAAAACATCCTCGACTAATCTGTTACTGAAATACATTCCACAGTCAAGAGAGCTGTATTAAGGAAAGATGTTGGATCCAGAGACACGGGCTGTTATCAGCAGAAGAGGAAGTTGAGTCTAAATCACCTTGCATAAGAAGGGATAAGGTAGTCAGCACAGCAATGCACGATAAAAAATTCTGGGCTGAGTTCGCCTTTGTTGTGTAATCTACAATATGTGCTGGGGATTTACATCAGGAAGAAACGGAGCCCTAGTCCGAGTTTCACAAAGGGACTTTATTGTAGCCAGGGAGCTCAAATGACAATGTAGAGGATCTCTGGGGACCGTCTAGAGCAGTAAAAGCTGCTGCTGGCTCCCTCTAAGGCTATGATACTCTCACTTTTGGAACGCCTCTGGTGTTTATAGTCCTGAAAGGTGAAAAGATGTCTGTTCTAGTGTGCGCAAACGGTGGTGGTGGGAATGATAAACGGTATCTTCGTCAAGTATAGGAACCATGATTCAAACGGGAATAAGTGAATTGCTTGGCATTTTTAAAACTCACCGCTCCAAACTGCCCACCTGCACAAGTCAAACTAGTCAACCAGCTTGTATTTCTGTCCTTTGCATTACAGAATAAAGTAATATCAGGCTGCAGGAAGTGATCTGTCTCACCAGACAGTTGCACCATTCACAACTAGCTCCTTCACACATGGGGTCACAACGCAAGGAACTGGCTTTCGTGTCTCCGTGGATGTGTGTGAAAGTACATTCCCCCTACCAATTGAATTAATAGCACTTGTGAGTATGATGCTACCAGCAGTGTTTATGGGCCTTAATTTTTTTTTTAAAAAATGGCGGAACTTTTAAGCTCATTGGCTTGCATCATTTGGCTTCCTTCTTCCACTGCCATCTCAGTGTCTTCTTCCATGTTGCCTCGTGGACTTTTCTAAAGCTGTTTCCCACATATGCATTCCCCATTAGGGAGCCAGAATAATGGGTAAGTGCTGGAATGATCAGATACAATAAGACCACAGGAAGCCAACTCCTGGAAAATTGGCAAAAACTGGGTCGATGCAGGGAGAGGTTTGCTGTAAACTTGTCAGGTGTCTCAGCTGCTTTGGCACATTTATACTCTTAGCCACCATGCTAGAAACCACCAGATGCCAATGGTGGCTTTATCACATTATATGGTCATTAGGATCCATGCTGAACACAACCTCCTCTGTCCTGAATGGCCAGCTGAAAAGCATTATAATAGAATGAGAGCCCATTATCAGTTCCACTGTGGTACTTGCACTGGCTGTGAATTATTGGAACTGCATATGGAGGAAACAGTGTTCATGACATGTAATGTGCAACCTTTGGTTGGTTGGTTGTTGTTGTTTAGTCGTTTAGTCGTGTCCGACTCTTCGTGACCCCATGGACCAGAGCACGCCAGGCACTCCTGTCTTCCATTGCCTCCCACAGCTTGGTCAAACTCATGCTGATAGCTTCAAGAACACTATCCAACCATCTCGTCCTCTGTTGTCCCCTTCTCCTTGCGCCCTCCATCTTTCCCAACATCAGGGTCTTTTCCAGGGAGTCATCTCTTCTCATGAGGTGGCCGAAGTATTGGAGCCTCAGCTTCAGAATCTGTCCTTCCAGTGAGCACTCAGGGCTGATTTCCTTAAGAATGGATACATTTGATCTTCTTGCAGTCCATGGGACTCTCAAGAGTCTCCTCCAGCACCATAATTCAAAAGCATCCATTCTTCAGTGATCAGCCTTCTTTATGGTCCAGCTCTCACTTCCATACATCACTACTGGGAAAACCATAGCTTTTACTATACGGACCTTTGTTGGCAAGGTGATGTCTCTGTTTTTTAAGATGCAAATGGCTGGAAAATGCTGCTGAAGTCTTCAGTTTGCATAGACTTTTGCTAATGGCAATGGTCAACACACAATTGCTTCTAGTGTCTTGCAGAGAGCATACAAACATGAAGGATGTGCCATGCATGCACTGGAGGCAAAGGGGAATAGGGGGCAGTGCCAAATAAGCAAAAGAAGAGGCATAGCTTCAATATGGTACTGAAAGATTAATCTCAATCAAGTAAGAATCATCATAAGAACATAGGAAAATGCCTTATATACCAACTCAGACTGTTGTGTTCATGTAGCTCAGAATGAAGCAAGATTTCATGCAGGAGTCCTTCCCAGTCGTACCTGGAGATGCCAGAAACATCTCGCATGCAGGTTGTTTGACCAGAGATGATGGTGGAACAAAAGAAAAAAGAGTGTATACATTATAGTGACTGTCTAAAATTTTGTCATGTGGTCATTCACATATCATCCTCAGATTCCAACCTAGGTGAATTTTGTGAATGCCAGAAAATATAATGAAATAGCCAATTTTTTGGATGTACACCAGTGAAGGCCGACAGTTGGATATAGGGGACCATCAACATTTACTGATATGTCCTGGAGATTTTGGATAACCACAGAATTTTATCACGGACTGCCAGTATTCAAATGCTGAAGCCAACATTCACAGCATAGTCATTGTAATTGATATATGTCATACGTCATGATGGCACTGTCAATCTGCTCTCAGAAAAAACTAGTCATCCCCAGCTAGAGACTTCTCTCAGGGAAATGTGCTTCAGCTTGTTATTGTGAAACTCCCAGAGCCCAACATTTACTATGCCATTCGTTTTTCTTCCAAACAAGGAAGGCTAAAAGCAACATTTCTTATATGGCATTTGTAATTGGGTTCAGCTGAGGACAGACATGTTTAGCCTGCATTTGGATTCCTCTGCACAGTAGGCTGAGCTGGGTGAGCTGGAACTCTCTGCAGGGCTGAAGCAAACCTATAATCCAAACTCCGCCAGGTTCCTATACACTCTTTTCCTCCCACCACAACTTCAGAGGGTGGTCAGCTCATTGATATCACTCCCTCCATATGAACTAGCAAGGCTCTCCTCAGAACCTTACTCCTTTTAAATGAAAATAAAACACATGCTGACTATCATCAGAGGGTTATTCATCTCCTCTGGAAATTTTTATTCATAATGTCTACTTAGTGAAATCTCCCTCCAGAAAGAATAATTGTAGCAATACATTTAGGTATTGGCCCATAGGTATATCCCAGTGAACTCTCCAGGTTGCTGTAAAAACCCATGGTAACAGCATAGATTTAAGCTGCTAATTCAGAATAAGGCAGCCATTCCAGGGAGGGTGAACCATTGACAATATTTATTATTATTATTATTATTATTATTATTATTATTATTATTCTGCTCTTCAGGGCAGTTCACAACATAAAAATACTAAATCAGAACACAAAATACATAATATAATGAAAACAAAAACAAACCAATAATCCCCCTTACATATTTAAAAATCCATAGATTGTCCAATCAGCCAAAGGCCTAGTTATAGAGAAATGTTTTCATGTATTTAGGTTAGTGTATATAACAAAGGAACATCCAGGACAAAGCTTCTTTTGTCCCCCGCAGTGAAGAAGGGGGTTCAGCTTGGGGGTGTTTGTGACTCCCAAAGCACCAGATGGACATGTGCCTATATTTATGGCCTACATTAGGGGTGTGGAGCCTATGGCTTCCAGATATTGTTGGATTCCACTCCTGTCAGCCTGAGTCAGCATGGCCAATGGGCAGAACTGATGCAATTTGTACTCCAACACCACCTTGACCTAAATAGAGGTTATCTTTAGAATTGGTCTCCTAAGTTGTGTAGGTTTCAATAAAGATGGTTTGGAACATAATGGGTTGATGATATGGCGCCACCTCCACAATTTATGCTGCTTTTTGTTTTTTTTATAGCCTCAAATTCTCATGGTTTCTGGATGCACTCCTGCATATTATGGATACCCATACTTATTAGCTCCTTGGTTTCAGGCTGTCCAGATTTTGCTGATTTGTTCAATCACTCTGAACGAGATCACATTTTCACTGTACAACCATGCCTGAGGTACCAGCTACCACAAGCAGGCTGGGTATGGGTCAACAAAGTGCAACTGGTTTCAGGGTTATTAAATCAGAAGACATAATGTCCAACTAACATCCTTACCAATTTGTTGCATTTTCACCCTTTTGCATCAAGGACATATTGCAGCATGCAAAAAAATCACCAGCATGGAGCTCTAAGAGAGAGGGAATAGGGCTGTGCACCAAACCCAATGACCAAGTTTTCTGAAATAAGACCTCTTAAACTCTCTTGATTTTCTACTACATAAAATACATATTGCTGCTCACTGCACTGTGTACAGGGAGCATATGCATGACCCTGAAAGTATGCAGCCTTCTTCAGAGTCTCTTTAGTTACATTCTCTTTCTACCTCCCATTCTTCCTTTGAAGAAGTGAAACTAACTAATAGCAAAACCATGTAATCTGCCAAACCTTTCCACCAGGGTACAAGATTCGGTCTAGCAAGCATTACATTTCCAATTCCCAATTTGCGATGGAAAGCAAAGCCTAACAGACACCCTTCACTTTCATCCCCACACCGGCTCTCCAGCATGAATAATGCGGTTTTCTAGTTTTTGTAACTGTTTGTGCAATAGATTCCCTTCCTGTTTAGACAAGAGTCTGAAAGCATGGATGTCAAAGCATCATTTCTAAATCGAGAGGAATTGGTGCTGAAGCCTCTTAGAGAGAAGTCTTGCCTCTGGTCACAGAGGATGTCCTGCTAATCCATGATCAGGCTGCTGCTGGTAGTAACTACTGGTGAGAGAAGGGGCTCCACCAACACGTTCCGAACTACTCGCTTCTCTGCTGTTATTTCGTGTGTTCCGGAACTGACATTGAAAATGGAGCCCCTTAAATGAACAAAGAAATGGAAGCAAGGATTGGTACACAGCTTCTTGCCCCTGCTGCCCCCAGGTATAGTTTGTGCTTTTCCTGTGATAGTTGTCCTTTCATTTTGTTTGAGGTTTCTTTTCTTTTTTCTTTGTGATGGCCTGGGAACCAGCTGAGCCGGGGCTGAAGGGTCCTTACCCGTGCTGGATCCTCAGGTGCAGGAATCAGCTGAGTCTGCTCTGGCTCCTGACGTGATGGAGGACCCATTGCCTGCAGGTGCTCCACTCTCAGCCCCGTCAGAGAAAGTTGAGGTTGCCTCTGGCTCCAGTAACCCTCCAGCCTCTCCTGAGCTGCAGAGGATCAGAGCAGAGAGGCGGAGGGAACTAAGTTCCCGCAGGAGGAGTGCTCGCCTCCAGGCCAGGAGAGGCGAGTCACCAGAGGATCGGGGCTGTCCTATGCCTCAGGGCAGATAAAAGCTGGACAGCCCCAGTCCCAAGTTGTGGGAGCAACATTGTTGGTTGCTAGTACCTGTCTGAACCCTGTCCTGCTTTCTTGCCTGAGCTCCTGACCTGCCTTGGCTCCCTTCTTGCATGCCTGTCCCTGACTTCACCCAACTCCCTGCCCTGCACCCAGCTTCATCTACTACGGACTGCCTCCACGTTGCACCTTTGACCACGGATTGGACTTGGACCTTGCCTCTCGAGTAACCCACAGGACCAGCACATTCTTTTAGTGTGATAAATTATATGGCTGTTTCCCAAAGAGCTCAAGGCAGGGTATGTAATCCTCTGTGTTTATCCTCAAGAACCCTGTTGGTAGCTTCAGTTGAGAGCCTAAGGTCACCATGTACATAAACACAATCTTGCTGCTGGATAGGACAAAGGTCTATCCAGTACAGCAGGGCTGGGCAACCTGTAGCCCTTGACCTATGCTCACATGCCTTACATTTAAAGCACATTCAATGCATATGACTTAGACCCCAAGGATCCTGGGAATGGTGCATGCTCTACACAAAACCATTGACTGGCTGGCATGCACACAGTGTCACTGGCACTGGAACAGAAGTCAACCACCAGGAACTTGCTCTTGGCTTCCTGGTCTGACACACACAGGCCTGAGGGGAGAGACAGAGAGAGACCTCTTGCACCTTCCCTCTTTTGGAGAACCAGAAGGAAGAGCAGGAGTCAGAAGAATGCTTTGCTCCACACCCAGAAGCTCTCAGCTGGAAAAGTCTCCAACTGACATAGCACTGCTGGGAATGGGGATGAGGATGGTCAGCGTGTGAGAAGGAAGAGCTGCTGTTATTTCCAGACCCTTCTGGAGAAACAACCCTGCGAAACTGCCCTCTTGGAGCTTTTAGCCAATGAGCGAAGGGACAGCTATGATTGGCATTTGGGGTGGGAAGGGGTGAACTGAAAACCCTCAAGAGAATAAACATGGCAGGACATGGTTGTTGTGTGCAGAAGGGACTTCCTGGTTAGTTACCCAGCTTGCAGACCAAATGTCGCTGCTGCAGTAGGGAAAGAGCAACTATAACATAGTGAATTGAGCAGAATGGAAGGTGAGAGGCAGGTGTGGATGCATGCCAAATTTTGGCCTTGCACAGGGCGCTGCTGAAATTTGAAAGACCAAAGTTTGTTCCTGCACAGCTTTCCTGTTGTAGGCTGTGGAATGGCTGGTGCCTGCCTTAGCCAGTCTTCCCGCTCCACAGCCAACTATAGGTCCTAGCTGCACACCCACCTTTCACACCCAGTGTCTGCATTAAAGGCAATCAAGCACACAATGGTGCTTGGTGCTGGGACTAGTAGGACAGAAGGGGGTCAGAGCCAACAACAGGCAGGGTTCACTAATTCCAGTTTTGTCCTCCTCCTCCTCCCTACTGAGTCCCACAAGGGCAAGACTAAGACTAAGGAGGAGGAAGGAGACAGCCATGGCTGTCCTCTAGACTAGTTGCAAAGTAGGAAGGGAGGCAGGCATGGCTGGCTGAGAGCTGGCTGGGGTTGTTGAGGAGATGCCTCAGTTGCCCTAATGGATCCGCCTGCACTGCAAATACAAAAGATGAGAAAAAGAAGACATGAAAGGAAAACCAGGAGAAAAGCAAGGCTATAAATTAACACGTCCCTTTGCTTTGTGCAATTTCTTGCAAAACTACACAAGCACTCAAAAAACCTGCTAGCGTATGGAACATGAAATGTTTCTTTAGTGTCCAAAATTTCAAACCTTTTTCAGTGCTCAAGCTGACATTTTGAGAGACCTCAAGAGTCAGAAAGAGAAATAGAGGTTATCTGCTAAACACAGAGGTCAACATCTTCTGCAGCAGCAGCTTTGCTTACTTTTATTAAAGGTGGTTTTATAATAGCTCCCCCCACACCAGTACCTATTTGACAGGAACCTTTGAGACACCTCATGATAGACTCACAATAAAGCTAATTAAAATCTTTTACAAGATAAGAGCTCTGGGTTAAATCACCAGTTTGCAGAGAATGCGCTAACAATAGACTCTCAGAAATATGTTTCTTATACCAGGGTCCATGTGGGTGGAAAGAGCAGGAACTAGGAGTGCAGGATGTGTCTTTGTTCTCTTCTCAACCATCAGTCAGGAAAGCCTTACATCCACTTACCCAAATTCACTTTATACCAGGAGCCTTCACTACAAACTTTCTAACTTTTGAAAGGAAAAAAAGTATTGGAAAAACTATATAGGACATTAGCAGGTTCCTATTTCTACTGGTCATGTTGTGTGGATGCCTGATGATCGTCTTCCAAAGCAACTACTCTATTCCGAACTTAAAAATGGAAAGCGTAATGCTGGTGGTCAACAAAAGAGGTTTAAAGACTGTCTCAAGGCAAATCTAAAAAAATGTAGTATAAACACAGACAACTGGGAAACACTGGCTTGCGAACGCCCCAGTTGGAGAACAGCCTTTACCAAAGGTGTCATGGGCTTTGAAGACACTCGAACTCAAAACGCAAGGGAGAAACGTGCTAAGAGGAAGGCACGCTTGGCAAATCCACACCATGATCAACTCCCGCCTGGAAACCAATGTCCCCACTGTGGAAGGACGTTTAGGTCCAGAACTGGCCTCCATAGTCACTTACGGACTCATTGTTAATACCCTGTTTATGGAAGACAATCTTATTCAGCTACGAGTGATCGCCAAAGAAAAAGAAGATTTCTACTCAGTCTGGCATTAAGAATATGACATTTTTGGGCGTTTGCTGATGCCCACAGACCTGCATGGATCCCATTGCTGACTTCCAGAGTCTCCTGGCCCTGCTCCTCTTCTTTGCTGTCACTACCTGCTCACCTGCCCTGTCCAAGCATGGAAGCAGTGACAAGAGAAAAGAGAGATGGAGCCACAATATCTAAGTGCCTTGCACTGTCCTGCTGGCCATTGGCATGGAATGAATGCTGCTTCTTTTGGGGAACTGTAAGGAGAATGGAAGGGAATGAGAATTTAGGTGGCAGTCTTCTGAATACTTACTTGGGGGAATAATGAATACTTCTGAATACTTATTTGGGGGAGTAAGGTAAAGGTAAAGAGCCCCTGGATGGTTAAGTCCAGTCAGAGGCAACTATGGGGTTGCGGTGCTCATCTCACTTTCAGGCCAAGGGATCTGGCATTTGTCCACAGACAGCTTTCTGGGTCATGTGGTCATGTGGCCAGTATGACTAAACCACAAAAGAACCTTCCCACCACAGTGGTACCTATTTATCTACTTGCACTGGTATGCTTTCGAACTGCTAGGTTTGCAGGAGCTGCGACAGAGCAACGGGAGCTCACCCCGTCACAGGGATTCAAACCGCCAACCTTCTGATCGGCAAGCTCAAGAGACTCAGTGGTTTAGACCACAGCGCCACCCACATCACTTTTAACTCAGTGGTGTTTACAACCAAGTACGGACACATGGAGTCAGGCTTCAAAGGTAATCCACTGCCTCCCTTACCCTGACAATGTTGCTGATGCCGGGACCCTGAATTAAGGTTCGCTGTTTGTGACAAGTGGCAGGCACTCATGTGGTTTGGGCCCATTTGAGTCACCCAGGATTATTTAACTAGTGTTTTCAGCCTGAAATTTTACCAAATAAAATGGGGATGACAATATTTATATAGCACACCCAGGGCATTTTCACATAAGCATAATGAAAGTATATTAAAACCCATGTTCAATCCGTCTTAGGAGTGGAAGTGGAGTGGAAGTGATAAAGCACCCTAATGGGAATCAACAATGGAGCCTCTCTATATAAGGGAGCAGGGATGCTTTCAGGCAAAAGATGATGAAAGAAGAACAAATAAAAATATCTGGAGGGAGCCAGCTTGTCACTGACAGGCTCATTACAACAAAAGCACATATTGCAGACTTACACGGGAATCTCCAGACACATCTTACTTGGAACGGCTTTCTGACTTCCTTTAGGATCATTCTCTCCTTTGGCATCCAAATTAATTCTCTCCCCTCCATCATCTTTCTTTATTCTTCTGCTTGCTTCTCCCCCCTCCTTGCCTTGTGTGTTGAGTTCTAGTCTGCTCTGTATTCTGGGACATGGGCTAGTTTAGTATGTGCTCCAGTCAAATATAAGAAATCTCATTATTTCTTATATAGGAGAGCATTATTATCATCTTTAACTCACTGGTGTATTGCTTGTCTAAGGCATGTGTAATGCCTAGCAATAATACCTCCTCATGTGGACAGAATACATTATTTTAATACGTTTTTAGAGATGACACTGTCTCTCTTTTTTAAAGCTCTAATTGAAGGAAGTAACAGTAGTGTTTTATTTATACCCATCAGCTTTCCCTGTTGGGTACGTAGAGCTAAGCTGTTAAAAGTAAAAGCATTTTAGAACAATTGCCAAGCCAGACCAACATACCCAGGGCAAAACCAGAGATCTATTCACTGATCTCCTAGACGCTAACAGCCCTTACTGATTTGAATGATAGCAGAAGAGTAGAGTAAGTTTTTTTTTTACCCCTTCTTCATGCTATTTCCACAAGAAAACATGGGTGGGTGTGGCGATCACACAGGGCCCCTGGACGTTTCACGGTCTATTGACCCTGCGCCACCACTGCGGTTGCTTTCTTTGCTGCCACCACCCCGCTTCTCACGGGGACACACGGAGTCCAGACAGTTGTTAACATAAACAAATAATCAAGTATATTTTTAAGTGCAGGAATAAGCGTATGGTTTCGGTTTATTTTTCTCTTGTCAGTTTCTTAAATCTTAGTTCCTACAACTTCAAACTGAATTATTCCCAACTATCTATCTAACTCCCTAACAATTCCTCTCACTCTCTCACAACACAACTCAACCAACCCACTGCGTATTCCACCCTCTTCCTTCTCCAACACCCAAGCCTCAACTCCCAACTGACAAACCTCAACTCCCAACTCCCAAATCTCAACCTTCAACCCCCAGACCTCAACTGTCTTTTCAAAACCTCCCACTCTATCTTTTACTCCCCCCTCGCATTCTCACTGGCCAATCACCTCACACCCATTTTAACCCTTTCCTTGACACATCCTAGGGGCAAACGCCACAGTGGGGATCTCTTTCTAAAGAAGATGGCAAAACCTGTAAGCCAAATTCACATGGACTCATCTAACATTGAATTTTCTTCAGGAAAAGAAAACAAAACTTGGTAACTGAACCATTCGAGAGTGGAATGAAGCAAAGCAAACTTCCAGATTCTGCTATAATGTTGTTTTTTTCTGGTAAATTTGTTGACAGGCAGTTCACAGTTGACTAGCCGGGATTCACGTCTGCCAGGATTACATTGCTGATGATAGGATTGCCTGGGTTACGTTACATTATTTATTTATTAAAACACTCTGAAGTGGTTCATTGCAAGAAGTTCAAGAGAGCTGTTTTCCATCCACTCACAGGAAATGAGGAGGGGGCGGTGAGCAGCGGGGTAGAGAGACTCTCATGCAGAAAGCTGCCTTACAATAGATCCGACTATTAAAATATAGAATTACAGAATTATGATGGTGCTGATGGATTTTAGTTCTTCAAGCCTAAATAAAGCATCCTGAATAATTTGTGGTTGTTTAGTCATTTAGTCCTGTCCGACTTTTCGTGACCCCATGGACCAGAGCAGGCCAGGCACTCCTGCCTTCCACTGCCTCCTGCAGCTTGGTCAAACTCATGTTCGTAGCTTCGAGAACACTGTCCTAAATAATTAAATATTGCTTATTACTTGCCTTTTCCTTGTCTCTGCTGCTTAGCTATGCTGCTTCCCAGACTACTGCCAACGTTTTGGCCAGTTGGCTGATTGCAAGTCTTTAACTGTACTGCTTTTGTTCTCTCCAGAGTGATCCTGTGGATAAATTTATTTTTGTAGGATTTCTAATAATAATCTTTGCCTTCTTTGACACACAGGACAAAGCAGCCATCAATCTGGCCTTCTCTTCTACTGATTCATTTTATTCAGTGTGAACCGTATCCAACAATTTTCTCTGTTGCACCTGGTTTCTGAAATTTCCATTATATTTATATACTGTTAAGTCCCAGGCAAGTCTAATTTGCCCATCATTTCTATTCTATTGCTCTTCAAATTGCTCTTCTATTGCTCGTTCATATGTATTTTTTTTTTAACCTTTCAAACAATCAAAGAGTTTTGATTGGCTCTGTACTTTTGGTATGCCTGTTGCCTATTTCTGTGCTAACCACGCTTTGTGGATATAGAACATTTAAAACGGGTGGGGAAATTTGTTTCTCTCTAGATGTTCTTGGGATCCATCTCCCATCATCTCTCACCATTGGCCATGTTGGCTGGGAATAATGGGAGCTGAACAACATCGGGAGGGCCTTCTCTCGATTCAGAACTTAAATCTATAAGGATGAATTGTTCTGATTGAGATGGCCACCTGTGTCATGGGCAGGATTCCTGCATTGCAGGAGGTTGGACTAGATATAGGACCCTTCCAACTCTACAGTTCTGTGATTCTATTTGTCAGCTTTCCTCTAGAAATAAGTTTAAAAGCTGCTCTACAGTTTGTCTTCTTCAAACTGTCTGTTTCTGATGGGCAAGGCCAGCTGCCATCAACGTATACGTCTCTCTCCCTGCAATCCTTCCCTGTTTAGGATGCAATATTGTAGTAGGAAGGGAGAGTGCCCTTGTGCAGGATTATCACAGGCATCTGATTGGTCACTGTGAGAACAGTTTGCTGGAGTAGATGGGCCTTTGGCCTGATCCAGCAGGGCTCGTCTTATGTTCTTATGCCATCCACTGAGGTCTCAGAAGGCTCACTCCTTATTAACACCAGTTGACAAGCCCTTGACAATCAGAGCTGACAGCACAAGGCTCAAAAGGACAAACTGCCTGATCTGTTTTTAAGGCATCTCCCCTTGTTTCTCTTTACTCAGATTGTTCCTGTGGGCTTCTAAACCCTTCCTCTAGATACCTCTTCCTGAGCCCTGCACCGAGAGCATTATAAAAATCCAGAGTTTGCTTTTACAGCATAACCCCTTGCAAGGGATGCAGGATCCCTTGAGGTCCAATGTCAGAGGAAACAAAGGTAAAGGTGAAGGTAAAGGGACCCCTGACTGTTAGGTCCAGTCGCGGACGACTCTGGGGTTGCGGCGCTCATCTCGCTTTATTGGCCGAGGGAGCCGGCGTACAGCTTCCAGGTCATGTGGCCAGCATGACTAAGCCGCTTCTGGCGAACCAGAGCAGCACACGGAAACATCGTTTACCTTCCCGCCAGATACCTATGTATCTACTTGCACTTTGACGTGCTTTCGAACTGCTAGGTTGGCAGGAGCAGGGACCGAACAACGGGAGTTCACCCCGTTGCAGGGATTCGAACTGTCGACCTTCTGATCGGCCCTAGGCTCTGTGGTTTAACCCACCGTGCCACCTGTTTCCCTCAGAGGAAACAAAGGCGACATCAAATCAGGTGAAAAGAAAAGCAAGGCAAGCTGATAAGCTTGATCTTTATTATGTTCTGTTGTAACAGGGTGTCCCTCCAACCCAAAAGGAAAAGAGTGAGCCTGCCTGGACACAAGAATGTAACAACATTTAAAACCTCAGAAAGTATCTGCCCAAAGACCACTCCAAAACATACCATAAGCATCACCAAAATGTCAGCAAAGGAGGTTGCCCAGCAAAACTGGAGTACATGACTGCAATTATGATGCTTTGTGTGAATTGCTTGTCTGGACCTGCCATTCATTGCCAGACATTTTTTGACCATGCCTTTAGGAATTACAGTATAATTAACCTTTCTCCTGCTTCGCTAAGACCCATTCTTCTTGCTCTTGCTCATATCATCCCTCTTTGATGAGTGGAAAACCTCTGTTTGACAGGTCTCCTCTGTTGTTGAACAGTCCCCACTTCAATATTTCAGTTTACACACAGCCCGCAGAAGAGCTTCTGTGTTCTCTGCCTACGTGATGTGGGGGTGGCTGCGGGGTCACACACTGCTGTCCTGTCCATCTCTCGGTTTTCTGTAGTGGTTGACATAAATTTAATTCATAAAAGAGGGCTTTCAATTAATAAAATATGGACCGAGAGCCATATATTGATTGTTTTCAGGAGATAGGTAAAGGGACCCCTGACCATTAGGTCCAGTCGTGGCCAATTCTGGGGTTGTGGCGCTCATCTCGCTTTATTGGCTGAGGGAGCCGGCGTACAGCTTCTGGGTCATGTGGCCAGCATGACTAAGCCGCATCTAGCGAACCAGAGCAGCGCACGGAAACGCCGTTTACCTTCCCACCGGAGCGGTACCTATTTATCTACTTGCACTTGACATGCTTACGAACTGCTAGGTTGGCAGGAGCAGGGACTGAGCAACGGGAGCTCACCCCATTGCAGGGATTCAAACTGCCGACCTTCCGATCGGCAAGTCCTAGGCTCTGCGTCACCCGTGTCCCTTTTCAGGAGATACACACCTTCAATTTATAGCACCTGCCGCTAGGGCTCCCTCTATTGGCCAGTCTGTTTGTCAGCTAGCATTTTGATGGCTAGCAATAGGGATGGTGGTGAGTCAATTTAAAGGGCCGCTTTGGAAGTAACAGTGCGTGTTTTGTGAATTCGCGTATGGATTTATATTTCTGTGTTTGTGCACTTATGTCTATGCATTTATCTCTAGTACACTTATGTTCATGCACTCCATTTACAGAACCCATAATTCTTATGACAGGAGTCAACTATTTTGCCATGACTACTGAGTCCTCCCATACAATGTCAGGGTGATGTCATTGCAACTTTGTGGACAGATCTGATAGTGTGAGTCTTTCTCACATGCTTTCTCATCCTGCTGTCTCCCAAAGAGTGCTTCTCAGGTGCAAAAGACTGATGAGACCGCCCCTGCTCATGTCACTGCAAGAATTTACACACATGCACATCACAGGTGTGTGTGATAGAGCCACAGGGAAGTGAGCAAGCATATATGAAATGGTGGGGCATCTGCAGTTTTGCTCAGACAAATTAGGTTAAGGCTAACAAATCACATATTTCACATCAGGCAATAGGTCAATTTAATCAAGCAAATATAATGAATGTCTGAGCAAAGACTTCAATTTAGTCAAAGGGAAGTTCGATGTATGCACAACTAATTGCAGTTTTTGCAGCCCAATTACTGTCAATAAATTTCTGCCTATAGTTAAGCTGGTAGTTGTACATTACACTGGACTAAAGCCCAAATACCAAGTTTTCACAGGGCCATGTGAGAATTTAATCTTACCCACTTCTATATATAGAACACAGTTATCAGATATTGGCCCTGAATGTTATCTTAGACTCAGAGCCACTCAGGTCATAGCCAAAAAAGAAAGAAATAAAAAGTGTGGGGTGGGGGAGACAGGATGGAAAATTGATTTGTGCTTCTTGTTCCTTGCACTTCATGTTCTTGTCCAGAATTGATCTCGCTTATCTCCCCCGTGGGGAGATATGCAAGATTGATTTCAGATGAGATGGAGAATCTTGGGCAACAGGAAGCACAGATCCCATTCTGTCCAATTAACTGTATTGAAGTCACAAAAGCTTGCAAATTTGCAGCTGAATACAGTGGTACCTCTGGTTGCGAACACTCCTGGTTATGCATGCTGCGGGTTACGAGCTCCACTAACCTGGAAGTAGGTGCTCCTGGTTGTGAACTGTGCCCCAGGATATGAGCGGAAATTGTGTGCCAGAGGTGCATGCACAGCGGGAGATGCCATTCGTAAAAGCGCGCCTCAGGTTATGAACAGTTTCCGGTTATGAATGGGCCTCTGGAACGGAGTCCGTTCATAACCAGAGGTACCACTGTGCAATCCTCTGTTGACTGGGCTCTGAATTCTCTCTCTCCCCCTCCACCACCACAAAATATATTTATCATGGTACTGTTTGAACAACTTCTACAAAAGGATGCAACCACTTCCCATCCTCTGGTGCGATATAACCATGAACCTGCCTATTGAACTAAAGCTTCTCATTGTAGCAGTTTTCAGGAAGGTGTTTATGTAACAACTTTATATGCCTTCTACTAGAAGAAAAGATATCTAAAC